ATTCCTTAACGTTGATGTTACTTCCTGGAAATCTCTGGGAATTAAATAAAATGCCAATAAACAAATACCGATCACCAAAAGCAGTGTAGAATCATGATAGGCGCTCTGTTGCCAAAAGAAGGTTACATTTGCTTTGGGAAGGGACAGAGGAAGAGAGGAAAAAATGTGAGCAAGCCCTTTTGCAAAATTACTGAATCAAATGACAAATCACTTTTTCCAGCAAGCAAGCATTGACCCAAAGTGTATCATTTTCTCCAGTGCTTTTTAGATGCTAAGTGCAATAGTACGGTTCCCTGAATCTCTGCTAAGGGAACAAGGTATATACCTTGCTCAAATTCACACTGAAGTAGCCTCTTTCTGTGGCTTCTATCCAAGAACTTCTTTTAGACGCTACTCTTCCCTTCCCCTCACACCAGACACATGAGACAAATACCCAAGAAGTCCGTGCCCTGATGCCACGAACAGACTGCGATGATGCAGAGGAAACCAATGTCGGCTATTTCAGACAGTCCTTTCACCACGCACCCTCCTACAAGTCACATCAGAGGCACTCAGGGAATTCTCTCATGCTGACCCTCAAACCTCCATTGGCCACCTTGCAGCTTTTCCCTCTCTTCTGGTTGCCTCCCACACAAGTCACAGCCTATGTTCAACGGGGGACGGAGCCTCCTACACCTTGCTCAGCAATCCCTCACCCCATGAGGTAGCTACAGGGTCCCCAGGAGATGAATGGTGAGCAGCTGCAGGAGCAGTAGTCTGTGACCTTGAAGACTCTTGAGAAAAACCTTCAGCAGCTTCACCCTCTGCCCATTTTAGCCTTATAAAGCGTAAGTGCTGAAGATCAGGGACTATCCTTAACCGAGTTTATAACAGGCACCATATCAAGCACCATGCTGGGCTATCCCTGGTTCAGGGCCAAGGCACTGCTGCATATGTGGTAATCTCTCTCCCATCACACATAACCCATGTTTGAAAATATAACCAATGTTAGCAAAAATCAAGCACTCGGAATTCAGCACCACCACAATTCACATTGTCTGGATCATCCCAATTTAGTTTCTTTTTGCATCTGTATCGTATAATGCATTATGATCAGAACAGAGTGAAATCTTTAGCTAAAACATTAATTGATTAAAAACGTGTATTCAGCAACAGCAAATCATTTTGTGACTTCCTCTGTTCCACTCAATTGCTTGTGTGAAGGAAAAGCATCAAACAATGAAAGAATGTGTTCTGAACATTTTTTAAAGGAGCATCTCAGTTTTTAAAATCTGACATAACTCTTCAAGGAGAATTTCCCTTTGAATGATCTTTAGGAAAGCTCAGCTATAGAAAATACTTTGTTGGGTCTAAAACAGAACTTTTTTCCATTTCTCCAAACTGGGGGTGAACCAAAAAATCAGTTAATTGCTTCCTGCTGTATCTGATACCTCCAGCCCCACCTCTAGTAATGCTTGAATTACCACATGCAAAATCCCTGTTACAAATTACACACACTCCATGGACGCAGACTGAGGGCCTGGAGACGAAAACACGGCCTGGAGCAGTTCCCATCTGATGGGAAACTGCAACTATTGCAGAGTTAGGAAAAGTGACATTTCAAATTTTGTCTTGGTGCTCCTGATCCACCTCCCCCCTTCAGAGACTCCCATTATTAAATCAGCTCACTTTACATGTCAAAGCAAGTTGTTTCTGACTGTCACCACTGACTATTGCTGTCTGAAAATCAAGCTGTTTTCTCGCTACTTTATACATTACCCCCAGATATGAAGACTCCAAAGTCTGAACGTAATTGGCAATTCTCTTGACAATGTACAAGGTAAAATAGAAGCAGCATGTTGCTCAACTGCTCAATTGGATCTGGAACAATGACAGCAGTTATAATTGTTATCTACCACTTAAATAACCAGATCCTATATGACTCAGAAAATGGAGGCTAAGAGATTATTAGGACCAAGATGCCAGTTTTGTCACAGGTACATTTCCAGCCAAATTTTTTGAATGTCAGAGGGAGCTAATGGTGGAGGCTGTGAAAAATATAGACATAGATTAAATTGGCCATGCTCTGTCGGCAGGATGTAACTATGCTCACTCTCTGGGAGATGTATTCAGGTAAGAAACAGTCTCCCTTGGGGAAATTACAGGTATCTCTTTGCCAAGTAAGTTTAGGTAGTTTAAACACCTGGGATCATGTATCCTTACAGTTAGCATTGCAATGACCTAAGAACAAAGAGTTTATGAACATTTCTGCATGGATGAAAGGTGCCCAACTGAAAAACTTCAGGAATGGGGCACTTTGACTCCTAACACTGCAGCCTTCCTTCTTCCTCCCCGGGGACAAACTCCCAAGAGGCAACTGGACGCAGCACTGGCCTTTCAGGACATTTGAAATGCAAATAGTTTTATTTACTTCCTGACCCTTGGCCCAAAACATCTGCAGCTCTATAAATGAAAAGCAACCACTGCTATTTAGCAACTTCTGTCCCTGCTTCATTCTGCCAGGAGATGGAGGCCACGCTTTCATGTCACCACGACACAGCATGGGTGTTGTGGTGACATTTGAGAACAACTGGTTGGGCTCCCCAGGCAGTTGGCACCATTGCCCTTCACCTTGCATCTTCTCTAGCAGGATGAAGCCTGGCTGTCGGGAAATGGCTACAGGTGGAAATGTTGGTCAAACTGAGAAAAAAAAAATTAAATTGGAGCCTTCTTCAGCACCAACATCCTGGGTTTCTGTTCCAGATGAGCCAGTTGAGTCAGCAGTCTCACCTTTTGTCCCTTGAGTACGTCGTGGAACAGCAGCTGGTGATCCTGCCTTAACCTCTCTAATAGAAGAAAAGGCTTTTCAACGTTCATGTCGTGAACCTTGGGCCGTGAGTGTACGGTTTAATTTTTTGGAGGAGAGCTCTGGCAAAGCCAATGACTTTTCATCCCGCTCCTTCCTGAAAATTGTTGAATGCGATTGATTTCAGTCAGTTTGGTGGGGTGATGCTGGAAACTGTGTAGTGATTGCTGAAAAAAAATCTTCAAAAGGCAAGTGCTGGGAAAGAGAGGACCTCTGCAAATTTCTGAAACTGATTCCACGAAAACTTTCATTCATCAGCTTAATCTTCATGGATTCAGCAGAATGGAAGGGAATTCTCCAGCACCTGCCTCACCTGACAAACTTCAAGCACTAGCAGCAGCAGGTTCTGCTTTTGGCAAGGTACGTCAGTCCCTTTGCACATGAAATAACTCTCAGCATATTCAAGTAGGATAGATGTTCATCCCACACTGCGGTGCCTCAAAATTAGTGGTATTTGGGTTTCTAAGTCGGTTTGTATGCTTTTGAAATCCTACACTTCTCTGCTGCTCCCAAACGGCAAAAACACCAGGGTAGTTAGTACTTAACAGGACTGTATCATAACATTTTATTCCAGTTTATTCATCTTTAAAATGCCCCTGAGAGTCCTTTCTAATATCCGTGTTTGTCTTTTATGAGTCTAATGCTTAGTTATTGTATCTTTGTCTTTCTCAGTCTGGAAATGGTAGCAACTCCTCTCCTTTGCATTTTTTAGTTACTCTTCCACTATAACCCCTATTTCAAGACAGATTATCCCCACATGCTACAAACCTGTAAGTGGAATGCTGATGTAAAAAACACAGCCCCAGCTGCATTCTCACTGGACCTGGATTTGAAGAAAGGCTGCCTGAGGAGAAGCCCAGATGTTCAGCCAGCAGTAGGAGCTGCTTCTGCAGAGGAGAATGATCCCTTCATAGCAGCGCCACAGAGGACACCCAGACATCTGCATCCAGCATCTCCACACCTACCAAGCCATGTGATAAAGCGTCGACACAGATTGGAAGTGCCTGTACCTCTGCATACACAATTTCTCTCACACTTTCAGGCCCTGCTGCAGCAATAGATAGTGACAAGTTCAAGCCTCAGGCCCCATCCCTATCACCACAACACTGCAACCACAGCCCTGTTGGTGTCCACGCTGCAGCTTCTGCTCCATCTGATGCTTCACCACATCACACTCCTTTTACACCAGGGCTTCCTGCCTTTCCATTCAGGCATCCACATTTAGCAGCTATGCAGGCTCCCTGGGCGAGCCTGCTTCGCTTCTGTGAGCCACGGCTTTCAATGTCCATGCTAGCAGCAGCCTCTGCTGCTGCTATGCCAAGGCCACCACACCGCCAAGCTCCAGCATACCCTCATTGCCCTACTTGCATCTGCCATCCAAATAAATCTTTTCTAGTTTTCTTGTCCTGTCTCTACAGTTTCACAGTTACTGTCTGAGGGGTTGCCTTCAGGGAGATGAACTGGTTTGCTCCAGCCCAGGGAAGCCAAAGGTCCCAGGCACTAGCAGTACGCTCAGCAAAATCCAGCAAAAGGGTAGCACGTGGCAAATCCAGCAGCTGCACCAGCAGCAAATGGTACACAGCAGTGCTATACAGCACAGTCTGACCATAGAAAGATTCTCTGAAGTAGGTCCTAGGATAAAAGAGCTGAGTATGTGATTCCACCTCCCAATTTAAACATCCGTATGCCAGATTATGACAACTGCCTATTAAACTGCAACTGGGAATCAGCAGACAAACGTACTTCATCTCATGCCTTGTCCCAATTACTTTAAAACAGGTATTGCTGAGTCAGTGGCTTGGATTACAGAAATCAGAGATCTTTAATAGAATTTGACAGCTTTTCAGGTTTGCACAAAGTCCTCTAGAAGCAGATCAAAGTGGGAACACCAGTTCTAGTGAGGTTCACAGGTAGAAACAAACTTCCTACAAAAATGTACCCAATGAAATCAGTAATGATATAGAAGTTATCTTCCCCCTACACATCCCACAGCAAGGATCCCTCCTTGCAGTGTTGCGCTCCCAGTGCTCCCCTTGGGATCTACTTCCCTGCTGAGCACAGATTTCCTTCCCCAAGGTGAAGGCCTTCAGCCCCTGGCCATCAGCGCTCCCATTCAGCAGCAGGGCTATGAAACACCCCGGCTGGCATAACTCACAGTTGGCCTCTTCCATTGTATTCGCCGCAGCTTATCCTCTGGGAGCAGGTTGGGACCGATGGAGCTGACATGGGCAGGGAAGGTGGCATCCTCAAAAAGCAGTCCTTGGCTCAGACACAAGGCTCGCAGGCGGTTGAAGTCCTGGTTATTAAATTTCTTCAGGTTCTGGAGGCTTCCCGTTGCCCCTGTTGTTTGCCAGCCCTGCTCCCACATCAGAGCAGAGCCAGGGGCAAGCATTGTGCCCCTTTCCTGTGAAGGAGAGACATGGACTGCCATCAGTTTCCTGATCCGAAGTGGTGCCTTAGGAGTGTGTGGGAAAGCAAACACCTCCCCACACCAAGAGGATTGTGGAGCAGCAGCTTGCAAAGCTGAGGGCAGTCACAGTGACAAAAA